AGCAGTTCAACGAGAGTTGGGCACACAGGTTGATTTGAGCACAGCATTTCATCCCCAGACGGACGGTCAGTCCGAGCGGACTATTCAGATTCTAGAGGATATGCTTCGAGCTTGTGTTATTGACTTTGGAGGTTCGTGGGATCAGTTCTTGCCTTTAGCGGAGTTTGCCTACAACAACAGCTACCAGTCGAGCATCCAGATGGCTCCTTATGAGGCTTTATATGGTAGGCGGTGTCGGTCTCCGGTTGGATGGCTTGAGCCGGGAGAGGCTCGGTTGTTGGGTACAGATTTGGTTCAGGAGGCCTTGGACAAGGTCAAGATCATTCAGGATAGGCTTCGTTCAGCTCAGTCTAGGCAAAAGAGCTATGCAGACCGCAAGTTTCGAGATGTGGCATTTATGGTTGGTGAGCGGGTATTGCTCCGAGTGTCGCCTATGAAGGGCGTGATGAGATTTGGGAAGAAGGGCAAGCTTAGCCCTAGGTTCATTGGTCCGTTTGAGATTCTTGATCGAGTGGGAGAGGTGGCTTATAGACTTGCACTGCCGCCTAGCTTATCAGCCGTGCATCCAGTTTTTCATGTGTCCATGCTTCGGAGGTATCACGGCGATCCAGCCCACGTGTTAGATTTCAGCACTGTCCAGTTGGACAAGGACTTGTCTTATTAGGAGGAGCCGGTAGCTATTTTGGACCGGCAGGTTCGTCAGTTGAGATCCAAGAGTTTCCCTTCTGTTCGTGTTCAGTGGAGAGGTCAGCCTCCTGAGGCATCGACCGAGGAGTCCGAGTCTGATATGCGGAGTCGTTATCCTCATCTTTTCCCCGACTCAGCTACTTCTTTCTTTTGTCCGTTCGAGGACGAACGGTTGTTTTAGAGGTGGAGAATGTGACGACCCAAAGGGGTCATCACTTGTTTCCTTACTCATTCTGTGCTTCCGCGGCCTTGAAAACCTCATTTAGGGTTGCCTCGATTTGCGTGCGCAGTCCGAACGCGTAGCCGGAAAGCTTAAATATGAATTCTGTGAGAAAAATGCTAAATTTTGATATTAAATTGAATAGATTTGACTTCGGTCAGCATTTTGGGTAAACGGACCCGGACCCGTGATTTGACGGTCCCGGAGGGTCCGTAGGAAAATATGGGACTTGGGCGTATGCCCGGAATCGAATTTCGAGGTCCCAAGCCCGAGAAATGAATTTTTGTATGAAATTATTTTCTGAAAATAATTAAGGAAATTGAAAATGAAATTTGATTAGAAGACTATGGTATCGGGCCCGTATTTTGGTTCCGGCGCCCGGTACAAGTCTTATATATGATTTAAGCACTTTCTGTAAAGTTTGGTTGAAAACGGACGTCGTTTGACGTGTTTCGGACTTAAAATGGAAATTTGATGTTTTATGAAAAACTTGGAAGAAATCATGAGTTTTGAGGCTTGATTCGATGTATATGATGTTGTTTTGGCGATTTGATCGCACGGATAAGTCCGTAGGATGTTTTCGAGGTTGTGTGCATATTTGGTTTGGAGCCCCGAGGGCTCGGGTGAGTTTTGGATAGGTGTCGGATTGCATTTTTTTGATTTTGGAAAATCTGGTATGAACAGGCCTGCAGGCTTCGCATTTGCAAAGCCTGGTTCGCAAATGCGAACTCGCAAATGCGAAGGCTGGATCGGGCCTGCCTTGGTCGCAAATGCGATGCTTCTCTTCGCAATTGCGAAAGTTGGACTTTCGCAAATGCGATAAATCTGTCGCAAATGCGAAGTCCTTCGGTGGGGTCTGAGTTCGCAAATGCGAACTAAAATTCGCATTTTCCAAAGTTGGTCGGGGTTCGCAATTTCGCAAATCCCATATCAGAGGCCCAGCAAATTTTATACTTAGTCGAATTTTCACCATTTTTCATCATTCTTTCAAAACCCAAACTCCTTAAGCGATCTTTCAAGAACAAGTTTCATTCCAAATCATTTGTAAGTCGATTTTTACTCAATTCTTTCCATCATTAACATCATTTAACATGTTTTCAACTTAAAATCAATGATTACCATGGGTGAAATTGGGGGTTTTGGGTAGAACCTAGGTTTTTCTTCGATTTGAGGTCCGATTTCAAAACAAATCATATATTTGGGTTCGTGGGGAATGGGTAACCGGGTTTTGGTTCGAACCTCGGGTTTTGACCACGTGGGCCCGGGGGCGATTTTGGAATTTTTGGAAAAAACTTTGGGAAATTCATTTTTATGCATTCAAATTGATTCATTTAGTGTTTATTAAAGTAATTGAGTAATTTGTGGCTAGATTCGAGCGGATTGGAGGTGGAGTCACGGGGTAAAGCCATAGTTGAGGCTTGACTTGAGTTCAAGGCATCGAGGTAAGTGTTAGGTTTAACCTAGCTTGAGGGATTAGGGGTTGAGTCATATTTGTTATGTGTTTCTTGTGGAGTACGACGTATAGGCATGGTGACAAGTATCTATACGTTGGTGTCAAGCATGACCGTGAGTCTTATATTGTGAATTTCATGACTTCGTCGTATTATTCATGCCTTGGTGAGTATTTCTATTTGTTGTGTAAAGTTGTGGAAAGAATCGTGACTTATGATTATTGAGGAGCGTTGGCTCCAGTCGTAGAACGCATTGCGAAAGTATAAGTGATAATTGAACCTCTAGAGCATTGGCTCGAGTTGTGAAGTGAATTGTGAAGTAAAAGTGAGAAAAGAAAAGATCATTACGTTGTTCCTTGGCGGGCTATTGTCGAGTTGTGGTTCCCTTGTACTGTGTTCTTAATTGATATTACGGATGCTTAGTTTAATGGTTCCTTGTGTTGAGTAAGACTAAAGTTATAGCTGAGGTAGTTAGGTGTTGTAATAGGTTTGGTTATAGCTGAGGTGGTTAGGTGTAGTAACAAGTTTGATCATAGTTGTGGTAGTTAGATGTTGTAAAAGGATTGATTATAGTTGTGGCAGTTAGATGTTGTAACAGGATCGGTTATAGCTGCGGTAGTTAGATGTTGGGACAAGTGTGGTTATAGATGTTTCTCCCTTGCCGGGACGTAATTACTCATGCTATCGAATCCCTTGTCAGGACTCTCGTTATAATTGTAAATATTATATATGGATCGGGTTGCACGCCGCAACAATATTATATATGGATCGGGTTGCACGCCGCAACAATATTATATATTGATCGGGTTGCACGCCGTAACAATATTACATATGGATCGGGTTGCACGCAGCAATATTATATATGGATCGGGTTGCACGCCGCAATAATATTATATATGGATCGGGTTGCACGCCGCAACAGTGTTATACACGGATCGGGTCGCACGCCGCAACAAGATATTATGAAATGGAGCGGGCGGTACGCCTACTACAAGATATTATGAAATGGGAGCGGGTGTTACGCCTACCACGAGTTACGAGAAACGGGATCGGGTTGTACGCCCGCAACAAGATGAGCTGAACATGAAAATTGTCTTTATTTCTTGCTTTCGCGTTAGAGGCTAGACTGTGGATTCCTATTCTATTATTCCTGATACTCTATTTATATCTGTTACCCCTGAAGCATGTTCGCTCCCCCAGTTTTAATTGTTTATTTCTATTGCCTCTTCGTTGCATTGTATATGTATATCTGCACAGATTTATCTGGAGTCTGGTACTAGCCTCGTCACTACCTCGCCGGGGTTAGGCCAGACACTTACCAGTACATGGGGTCGGTTATGCTGATACTACACTCTGTGCTATTTTGCACAGATCCAGGTTTCGAGTAGCAGCAGCAGTAGTGTGGGATCAGGCTTCATTTCAGCGAGACCCGAGGTAGCCTTGCAAGCGTCCGCAGGCCCGGCGTCTCCTCTATCCTTTATTTTTATCTATTATCTCATTATATTCGAGACAAACAGCTTATGTTCTCTTTCAGACGTTTGTATGTAGTATTCTTAGTAGTTCGTGAGTACAGTGACACCAGTCTTGGGTAGAGGATTTTGTTGAACTTTCCGCATTTCTATTCAGTTTTATAATATGTTAAGACTTCCGCTTATTATTGAATTTCGTTGCTTTTGTATTATTGTCGTAAATTGTTAAAATGGATTAGATTATTAATGGACAAGTAATTAAATTTGGCTTGCCTAGCTCTCATCAGTAGGCGCCATCACGACTCCCGAGGGTGGGAAATCCGGGTCGTGACACAACAATTCATCAAGCAGACATATCTTAGAGAGAGAGAGCAAAGATACTAATCATCCACGGGTTCTTTTGAGAGGACAGCATATATGCTGTAATGCAATGGTAGATCTAAGCATATAATTCAGCTGGTCCATGACCGAATAATGAATCAGTCAGCTGAACAAGATACAACAACAACAACAAACCGAGTTTGATCCCATAAATGGGCTCTGGCAGCTGAACCGGATATAATTAGGAGTTAGATCTTATAGGGAACAACTAGAAACTCTAGGCAAACTTGGAAAAAAGTGAATTCCACTTTCCTTTAACAATCTATGGTTCTTCTATATTGTTATTCACAGCAATGATGAAAAACGGCAATTGACATAGTGCATGAACTAATTAATAACAACTTTTCCGCAACTACCATTACCCAAAATGTGAAAATATCAAGGTCGTGTTCAGTCAAATATATGCCTAAGATTTGAAACCCCCGTCTATTTGAGCTGTGCAAGTATGACTAGAACGTCTAAAGGAACTAAAATTAAGAAAAACTCAATTAGAGCCTACATGTAAAAGGTTATGCCCGATCTCATTGCTATGACCTACTTTACATCTTAAGTTGTCCAGAATGACAGAACTCCGATAAAATAAAGGAGAGAATCCAGACAGGGATTGGAATTTTTAAAATCACAATTTGAAGAGGTAACAAAATACAAGTCCCATAGACGACCATCAACTAAACATAAATTTTTTATAATATAAGACTAATTTCACACAAGTTTTAACTTTAAAAAGTCTTTCTTGTTTTAGGATTTCTCCCTAGAAATAAAGGCTTGAAGTGATAGTAGATCTTAACATACCAGTATAGACGTGGAGCGTTCTGTAAAAGAAATTCACCACCAGAGACTATCCAATAAAAGCCAACTATCCACCAAAGAAGTGACGCCATTGTATTCACAGTTTCACATCGTTTAACAACACTGCAATGTCCAACATGGCAAGGAGTCAATAAATTATATTTGCCACTTCTATAGCAGCATTAACCAAGAAAAGGAGTATATCTCTCTTTTTCCATGCTTAAAAGACACTTAAAATAGTCGGTCAAATGATGATTTTTTCTTCATCATTTCAAATGACAAGAATACATGCTTCTATATGTCTAAGTAGAAGATCAAAAGGTGCTGATAACATAGCCAAGTTGAATGGCATGTAATTGCCATGCTTCTTTAAGCCGTAGTTTCAGCTTGCAGTGTAACAAATATCAAATGTAACTCATGATAATCTACTAGAGATAGCAGGTCAATCATGCTGTAAAAGATGGGTCAAAAACCATCAAGGTAATCAAAAGTAAGAATCACTGACATGACGCTATCACAAACTCTCAGCATAACAGAGCAAAGATACATTATTCTCCTTCCATTATTCATCCCCATAACCTTGTAAAAGAAATTTATAACACTTTCTCATAAGTTTGGGATCTCTTCTTCAGCTCCATATTTTCCTCTATGATATTATCCTCAGGGCTCTTTCAATGATACATGAATCATATAAAAAATCTTTGTAACCTAACAATCTAACCCAAAGGCCCCCTCATACAAAGTCCAAAGCAAGTCACTTGCCTTTGAATCAATGTGAAATGTACGAGCATCAAAATATTATACCCAATCATTCTGTTAAGAAATAGTGTTTCTATCTTAAAAGTATAAAGATCACAAATTCCAGTTTCTAAAATACAATCAGTTGTGTTGCATCCACAGACAAGCACTAGTTTTTGCAGCTATCAAATGCTGTGAGAATTGTTTAAGGAGGTGATGATCATTTTGTGAACTTTATCAGATAGTGTTGTCGACATAATTAGGTTCAGGATATAGATAGTTGAACATTTAACAGCGAAGGTGTCAAGCATGTGCGCTCAATGCAAGGAAGATATTTACGTGATCCCAACAATATCATTTAAGAACAATGAAGATGATGGAACTCCACCACTTTCTTTGCCAATTCATGTTTCTATAAGTTGCATATCAATTTTCCTTTATTCCGATTTCCATCTATATCCCATTTGTTTCCATTGTGTTCAGTTCTTAGCTAAGTCCGCATGGATTCTGAGAGATTATAGGTCTTCTAACGGCAACCTCCTAACATGTGATTTTAGGTTTACTTACTTCCTTTTAACACTTTCAATCATCATACTGTCACGCCTAGGAACAGGTGCGGAGCTAGTGTGTAGGTTGCGGGTTTGGCCGAACCCAGTAACTTTTATCCAATCCAAACCCTATATTTGTCTTAATACATTCATTGAATATATTAAAATTATTAATTTAGACCAGTAACTTAAAATGACTAGAATCCCGAACCCTAAGTAACTTTGATCCAAACTCCATCTCTACGAACTACTGCAGTTGAAAGTTCATGTAGCCCATAACCAAACCGCCTCACGAGCGTAAATGTAATTAGAAAGTAAAACTATAAGTAACAAAAAATGTCATGATCATAGATGAAAAATACCGAATAAGCTGAACAAATGGAGCTAACCTTGATTGATTACCAATACCCAAAACTCCATTTCCCTCTTCACCATTCTCCTCACTATCATTTTCTCCTTGAGAATTTCTCCTTCTGTATTCCAACCAAACCAGCACCACATGCACCACGCACTGCAAAGCATACCCACAAACCCAAATCCTAATCGGAACATTAGGCGACTCATCAAACGTGCAGGACAAAATCACAACCGAGACAATAACAAAACCCAAGTTCCACATCATGTCCAGTGCCACCACTGGCTTTGAGTAACCCCAGTCGGCACGTCGCTCGTCCAGCTCACGCGCCGCCGTCTCCCTCACTAGCATCGACGCATCGCCACCCCTTCCGCCGGTGAGCCGACCAAGAAGTACAGCCAACGATGACTGACGGCCCCCGCCGCCGGTGTCTTCTCGCCGGCTGAGAAGTGGGACCCTTGTGGGGTCTGAAGATATCATATTTGGTGGCTCAGTTGCCATAATTTTAAAGCTAAAAATGGATAATTGTTTATCTTTTAGAGAGAAGAAGTGGGGTTTGTCAGAAACATAGAATTCATAATTAAGTGATGTAAATAGTTTTTCTGAAAGTTTGATGAATTTGGGTTTGTGTCAGATTCTTGATTTTTGTGTCTAAAAGTTGAAGGGTAGTTGGGGATGATCAAAATGGGGGATGGGGGATTAGCTGGTCCGGGTCTGTTTCTGGTAACTACGGATTCTGAACCTGAATCTTTCATAAACTTTTATACTGTTAAAAGACAGGCAAACAGGATAAGGGAGATTTAGCAAAAGGTCAAAAATCTTTCTAAAAATTGCAGGCCCATATTTGGTTGCCCCATTTATCGTATACTTATATTTTTAAAATTATTTAAACTATACCTTAATTTAACAACTTCAGACGCTCCCTCTTCTTCCTCCTGACCTATGCGTTCCTTATCTCTTAGTTCATGGCAATATGCAAGAATAAAACCGTCACCTTCGCTCTCCGAATTTGCGTTTCTTGATAATATATGGTTTCATTGGTAGTGTTGCCTTTCTCTTCTGCCCGCACACTCGCCGGACTGGAATTATTAATAAAACTTCAGACTTGGGCATATGAAGTTCGCCAATAGCAACGCCTAACTTCAGACTCAAATGTCTGAAGTTTATACTTCAGTATCTGAAGTATATACCACATATGTTTAACAATCTTAGCCAAATATCTGAAGTTCATAACCAAATGTCTGAAGTTTATGTCAAAATATTTGAAGTTTATATCAAAATGACTTAAGTTCATAGAAAAATATCTGAAGTACACAATTGAACTGAAGTTTGCCCTTGCTTATGAACTGAAGTTTGCGTAATTGCCTTTGCAAGTCAGGCCAAACCTCAGGCAAAAAATTCTGAAGTTCAAACTTCAGACATAAATTTTTGCTACTTCAGGCCCGTATGTCTGAAGTTACGCAAAAAGTGGGTACGCTTGCAATTTTTTCGCAAAGCGGGTATAAGTTAAAAGGTGGCCCAAAAACTGAGTATAGATGCAAACGCCCCAAAATCTTTCGATTACTAGTCTTTTTACAAAAACAAAAACAAAAATTATATTTAAAAATAATTTAACTACTATAAATTTTCTATTTCTTCTATTTTCCCTTTACGAGAGATTTTTATAGCGACCGAAATATTATGACATCTTTAAAGTCACAAATTTAAAAAATCTTTATTTTTTTCAGTTTCGAGTAAAATCAAATTACGTCACAACAATTGAAAAGAATGGAGTAGTATTTACTAAATTCTTTGTTAATTAAGAAAATATTCAACGTTACTGTTATTGTCATGTTGTTAAGAAGATGTGATTATGGAAAAGCCTTCAATTATTAGGATGTGGACAGATTGAGATAACAATGTGGAATAGAAGTTGAGAGACACATGTTAATTTTAAGCTAATTATCATCTTATCCGAGTGTCTTTCTGTCAGAATCGTGGACATCCATTTGTATTTATCATGAAATACAAAAGCAAAGTTTCTAGCTCTTCAAAATTTGATAAGACAAGGAAAAGTATAGGCAACTTTTTACCAATCTGTATTTAAGGTAATGTTGTGGCACAGCCAGCATTCACAATGCTTCAAGCATAGTATAAAATGTCCTAAAGCATGGAAATTTATTTACATCAAAGTTGGGTTGGGTTGGGGGGGGGGTGGGGGGGGGG